GAAAAAACACCGCATGGGATGATGGGATACTGCTACCCACGCCGCGTCCGCCATCTTTGTTTACTTCCCTGAACGCTAATGCGAGAGATCCCCGTCAACTATCGCAAATTTCCATGTAACCTACGGACATCGTGAGCTAAAAAGTCATTAACATTGAAATGAACAGTTTATTGTTGCATTCGTTACGATAATTTTCGTGTGCTAGCCGGAGTTTCTGAAAATTAAGCGATCGAAGCGATCCTTTGTGAATTGTGCTATCGACTGCTTTCATGACGATCGTCTGCATTTTTGTCTGTACGCTACTTGATTGAAGTTTTCCGTTAATCAAACTTTATTTTTCGCTACTTTCGTGATGTAAAAGTACGTACAGGCTGATGATTGTGCATGTATTCGTTGCTTGTTTTGTACGTAGCAAACGTAGCATAATTTGTTTATTCGTTCGAGTAGAGCCTGCCGATAGCACATGATGTCTAACGTATCGCGGCGTTCTTCCAGTCTTGGAAAAAACGAAAAAATACGTGTGTACGTCAACGAAAAAATTAAAAGCAAATTTACCGATCTCAATAAAGTTCACTGTTTTTAATGCGTAAATGTGACTCGTGTTTGTATTCTTTGTGTCGTTATGTGTTCGATGCCCTGTCCACCCCCCACCCCCATAGTTTCAATGAAGGCCGAGAGTTTGAGCCTCAGAGTCTCTTAATCGGAAAGGCCGGGTATTTGAAAAAAATGTGCTGACAAATTGGCTTTTCAAATAAGCGGCTTCTACTGTACTAGTATTGTTGGGCTCTGCAAGACAAGGGTTAGGCCAGACCTAATTTAATTTCCTGGTTAACGGATTCGCCCGCTTCATTTTTTTCTGATTTGCAAATAAAAATAAAAATTCAGAATCAACTGCAAAATGCTCATATTTTGCCCTGAACAGTTGAAAACAGTCCTTTCATCCTAGTTGTTACAGTTATTCCATCTTTCAATGCAATGGTATCATTAAAAGTTCAAAATTCATGGTTTAAATTTTGAACCAGCCTGGTATGTTTACTTCATGGCTCCTATCGTACCATTTTGGCCCATAATAGGATGCCTAGGCCTGATTTTATTTTTATTTTTTTTTGGCCGCCCGCTCCATTATTTTTCTAGAAAAATCTGTTAACCAAGAAATTAAATTGGTGTGGCCTTAACTTAATAAAAAAATCTTACGGGAGTTTCTTCGTCCATGAGATAAGCGCCATGTCCCTCGCTGATCGCTTGTCGGTATTCGCGATGTGCCTCCTCTTTCTCCTTCACCTCTCCGACCACGTGCTTCCCGTTGATGAAGGCTTCGAACCCGACCACGGCCGCCATGTCGTCTAGCGGGAAAACGTACTTGGCCTCGATGGCAACATTGTTTTCGTTCTTGTAGGACTGCAACACGATAACCTAGAAAAGGACAGAAAAACAGTATGTCAGCATTTTAGCTAAACAATGTTTAACACATGTTTCAAAGATATATTTTATATGAATATTAATGATGCAATAGTCCCTTTCTGGCCAACTCTAATACATTTTTGAAATGTTTGATGTGGCTTTATCTCTGCAGCTATAATGCAAAATCATGAAACTATAGAATTCAATATGATTTCATTGTACAGTATATCAGTGTTCTAGCCAGTCTGAAATTTTTATCGTAATCTCGATTTTGTTTCACTTAAAATTTGTTTCACTTGAAATTTTGACTCTCTTAAATGCTATATTTTCTGCATTTTGAGCGACAAATTTTTCTGGTAGACTAAATTTAGCTTACTTACAGCTCTTTCCATATCTTAACACTACAATTTTGACTATTATAGACAGACATCTGGGACAGTAAATGGCAGACAGAGCTGTCTGGAAAGAGAGAGTGGACTCGGTCCAGGCTAGCCACCCGACATCATGATGATAACGGTGGACAGACTGGGCAAGTTTTTTTTCGCATGTCAGCAGCAGAATTCCATCAAATGAGTTAAAGACAGACACTGGCTAGAAGACTGATTCCTTTGCACTTCTGTAGAATTGTTTCAAGAGGAACTGAACTGATTTTAAGTATTTTTGTTTTTATACTATCATGAAAGTTCATCAGTGTTGGTAGTTACATGTTTAAAGTTAAAACTTTTGTTCCAACACAAAAAAATTCTCTCACCTAGAGCTTTTGACCAGTCACTCTACTGGGTCTACTGAGGAAGACCAGAGTATCTGTATCTGTATCTGTATAGCCGGTATAACCGCCTTTCGGCGTAACACACCAGCTTCGCAGGCACGCGGCGCGGCGGCAGCTGGCTATATTACACCGATCGACTTGTTCCACCTAACCCTTGAACTTCTAGCTCTAGACATTGTTTAAAGCTATCTATTGACAGTGTCCCTACTGTACTTGGTGACAGTGAGTTCCACTCTGCGATAGTTCTAGGAAAGAATGAATTCTTGAACACCTCAATCCTTGGTTGATAACTCTGGTACTTGAATGCGTGGCTATTTCTTGTTCTCTTCTGGGCTGGTATTAGGTACTTAGTAGTTGGGACATCCACCAGTTTATTAGTCATTTTGTACATCATGCATAGTCGAGACATCTTTCTTCTGTCTTCAAGTGAGGTCCACTGTAGGTTTCTTTTCATTTCCGTGACACTAGCACCTCTTACATAGTTGTTCA